CCAATCATAAAAAAACTGCAAAATACTAGTAGTCACACAATATTCAATAAAATTAAAAAGTACATAGGATTGTCAAAACATTTTATATTTAAAAAAAAAAATTTAAAACATCTAATATTTTGAAATGGAAAGAGTAATATTTAATTTAAAAATTATTTAGTTCTTTTATAAAGCGAATAAATATGAAAGATAAATATCTTAGGTTCAAGAATTTTTTTGGTTACGTATACCTTCGAATCATCCGTCTTGCCATCTCCAACAGCACCAAAACTTGTCACGTCAACAAAATTAATTTGCAAGAGGCAATTTCCTAACCTTACCAATCCAATGCAAATTAACACAAAACCAAGTACCAATTCCTGCAACATACACAATACATTTTTTATCAAAATATCAATACACTTAAAAAAAATAAACTAATCAGGCTGCCTTGTCAAATTATTTTGATCACTATCTAGCAAACTTCAAATTCCTCAAATTTTTGTAGAGAATACTTATTTTATTTGATAAGTATTAAGTATTACATTTCAAGAAACAAATAAGGGAAACATAAGAAGAAATAGTATCATATTAAAGAAACAAATGGGAGTCACCTTCACCATTTCTGAACGTTGTAGCAAAGATCACGAATTTTTAATATTTTGTGTGCCAAAGAAACTATATATATAGTTAGGAAAAATTAGCTGTCGTTTTAATAGATGATGTTGTATAACAAGTTACGAGATTTGTAACATGTGCTTAAAGCTTTACAAGATTACGACCCGTGAAACTATGAAAAAGTGAATTTGAAGATTTGAAAATGCACCATAATATGAGCATAAACATAGAAATCCTCTATATATTAAATGAGGATAAATTAAAAAAAAATTTTTAAGTGTCAATCAAAAAGCAACTTAATAAACATATCATTTAATTTAACCAATCAACATATTTCAGTTAAAATTATATGTCATGGTAGAAATTATGTACGTATTCTCATTAATTTTTAACATAAATTCATTAATACATGTTTTAAAATTTTAAACTCAACTGAATGTAATATTTTAGACTAACCATAATATTTTCTTATAAATTAACAAAAAAAATTTATTATATTTATAACAATTATCTATTGTTTACTTATGTATTTAGATTAATATATTATACAAATATTTTTATTATGATATATAGGCAGTCTACTATATATATTTAATCACACTTAAAAATTACATTTCATTATTGGAAAACATATATTTTTTTCCGTTTGTTATGTCCGATAAATTCAAATGAAGATCAATTTTATATTTAAAAAAAATATTGAAATAAATAATATTTGCATATGTTTTGATCAATTTACAAACAAAAATATTTAAACTGATAGCCCTAACATAGATTTAATCAAAATTATTCAATTTTATTATGCACAATACATATTATTTTTGTACGTTTATAGATACTAGAAATCATATGTTTTGTCATATATGTTTAAATATTAAAAATTATACATATTAAAATCGATTAATCAATTTATTTAATCATTTAATTCCGCACTTGGGTACGGGACAAAATCTAGTAAATACTAATGAAAGTATAGATATTAAACCAAGATTTGGTTCCACATCTAGATAATGCATTAAAGATGTGTTCGGTTCCTCACTTCCAATTGCTTGTGCTTTCTGTAGTTCATAGCAGATTCGATAAGAACTTTTTATCTTCTAGTTATGAAGAAGCTGTAAAGGCTTTTTCCAATATCAATAGAAATTAAATTAACAAAAAGATAAGCAAAATACTAATATGAAATATCACGTAACACTAATAAGGGAGAAGTAAATTCAAATATACCTATCGGCTACCGGGAGAAGTAAAATACATGATCAAGTTAGAAAAACAAGAGAATCAAATATATGAATAAAGTAATAATAACTCATGAACGAGGTTTGTAGCGGAAAGGATTCATCATTTTGGCATGATGATTGGTGAATCTGGGAAGATTATCGGAGTTGCTAGGTGAGAGGGAATATATTGATATGGGAATAACAGAGCATGCTACGGTTGAGAAAAAATTCTCAAGCATAAAAGGAGACGACATCGAGTAGCTCAACTCAATGAGCTAGAGGAAATAATGGCAAACAAGAGGAGCCAACGGATAGCGACAGAGGATGATATCGCCTTATTGAGAAGTAAGGAAGGAAAATTTAAAAAATCATTCAGTACGCATGATACATGGAATCATATTCGCCTTGAGCATCCTCATCTACCATGGCTAAGAGTGTTTGGTTCCCAAATGCTACACCAAAATACTCTTTCCTCATGTGGATAGCTATGCATAATAAATTACCTACTTGTGATAGAATTTTTCAGGAAAACTCATTCCAGACTACACATTGTGTATTTTGTAATTCACTGGAAACTCGAAATCACCCCTTCTTTGAGTGTGGCTATTCAGGTGAAGTTTGGAAACGCCTGGCTCAAGGGATCATGGGACAAAACTATTCGATGACTTGGGAGCACATTGTTTCCTCCACATTAGACACTACTCAAGGTTATATCTCTCTTTCACTATA